TTTTTTTTGGAGAGGTTTTTGTTATAGGGCGTGTGCGCTCGCCAGACAGACAGAGACAGAGAGACAGAAAGTGAGAAATCACCCTCCTGGGGGGATGGTCACGCCGCAATCCCTTCTCCATTCTCCTCTCGGGATCTTGGGCACACACGCACACGCGCCTGGTGTGAGTTTAAGCCACCGGGTCCGGGACACGAACCACGGTTGACTACGTGGGAGTCCAGCGACATAGGCATTACGCTAACTGCTGGTCCCAACAATAGGGCTTTTATGGGGGACTTTCCATATGTATCTGATGAGGGGATCTGCTTACCGCCACTGGAGGAGCTGAGACGGAGTGAAACGCAGAAAGGGAAGTTGGAGGCTCCTGGGCCTCTTGACAGACCAACCACGGCTCCTTTCTCTCCAATTCCTTTCTGCCGTTTGTAGAGAAAGGACGCTCAGGGGTTCCTCTTCTGAGGCTGGAGGACAGGCCCACAATGCCCCGAGCCTTGGCCCCCCATGCTTTTGAGGAGTGTGTGTATTTGTCCTGGTGAATCGCATCTTGTCACCATGTGACAGTAGTCTCCTTTCTGTGCTGCTCCATTTTCACATTGTCCGCTCCAAAGACGGCATCTTATTTGTGTTCCGTACTTCGTGAACATCCAGATTTTCAGTGGAAATAAATGGAAACAGCTGTTTTCTGTGTACATAATACAGTTGTGATCCTTCACCTTGAGATGATACGGCCAAATTTTTCCAGGTGTGGGAAAATCTCATTTTGGGTAATCAGCCCATTACAGAACAACGTTCAGCTGTTTGCTGTGCAATTTCTTTTCAGAAAGAGAGTGTTTACATCGGTCGTCCTTTATTACAATAGTCTCTTCTTAACGTGACTTTTCCTACGTAAAACAGTGCATGTTCACACACACACACACACACACACACACACACACACACCCTGAAGGCTCATCTACATTTCTTGCCTTTTTTCCATGGCGCTTCACTGCTATCCAATTACACGATGTATTTTAGGTTTTTAGCTTTTAATTGTCTATTTCCCCAAAGTAGGATGTGACTCTATGAAAGTGGGGTTTTGGTTTGTCCCTGGCTAGGATATGCCTAGAACACAGCTGGTGCCCAGTGACCACTGAGTGAGTAATGGAAGCTGCAAGTTGTCAGAAATCGGCCTCTGATCCAAATATTCATGTACACACAGACGGTAGAGTTTTAGTTTATCAGGTTATTTTAAATAACAGGTGGAATTAAAGAGGTTTTTCTTTTGGAGAGGTTTTTTGCTATAGGGAGCATGTGCTCACCAGACAGATAGAGAGAGACAGAGAGATAGAAAGTGAGAAATCACCCCCCAGAGGGGGATGGCCACACCACAATTCCTTCTCCTCCATTCTCCTCTCGGGATCTTGGGCACGCACGCACATGTGCCCGACGTGAGTTTAAGCTGCCGGGTCCGGTACTCGAACCGTGGTTGACTAGGAGGGAGTCCAGCAACAAAGCCATTATGCTAACTGTTGGTCCCACATTATTTGAAGGGGGGGGGTTTATCTATTTGCAAAAATCTCAGAAATTATTCTGGAAGCAGGTATCGTTCCTGGGAGTCGCGCAGTGCTATCTTCACACAGGAGGAATTGTTAAATCCTCTGCTACATGTCACCGAAGAAGTTGGCCGAAGAGCTAAAATCACATTTAAACATTTTAAGACAACTTATTCGGAGATCCACCCAAACACGTCTTGTGACATTACCCAGTTTGATGCCTTATTCTACTCACTAGACTTTGCAGAAAGTATTTTTGCTGTTATAGAAAATACTCCGACGAATATTTGCCACAGTAGAGAGCATTAACAAGAAAACGCTGCACGTTCATCGGTGACTCCTTTGTAAGCCTGGCAGCGTTCATTTGAATGTAAATGTACCATCGTTGTTTTTTAAACTATACGACTTGTTTTACAAAAGAATTATTTATTTATTTAATGCCATTTGTTATTATTATTTTTTTTTAACGTGACCAGACAGAGACAGAGAGAGAGAGAAAGGGAAAGCAAGAAAGCAAGCCACCAGGTCTGGGGCTCAAACCGCGGGCAGCCAGCCATGTGGGAATCCATTGCCTTTATCCACCACACTACTTGCCGGCCCTTAAATGATATTACTTTAAAAATATACTATTTTTATGAGAACAAGCAGTTAGTGTAATGGCTACGTCGCTGGACTCCCACGTAGTCGACCGCGGTTCGCATCCCGGACCCAGTGACTTAAAACTCACCCCGGGCGCGTGTGTGTGCATGCACAAGATCCCGAGAGGAGAATAGAGGAGAGGGGATTGCGGTGTGACCATCCCCCCTGGGGGGTGATTTCTCGCTTTCTGTCTCTATGTCTCTCTCTGTCTGTCTGGCGAGCGCACGCGCCCTATAGCGAAAACCTCTCAAAAAAAAAAAAGAAAAATATACTATTTTTATTTAAAATTTCAAGTGTCTGAAGTACTTAGTTTTTTGTTTGTTTGTTTGTTTGTTTGTCTTGTTTTGTTTTTCACTATTTATTTGCTTGGGTAGAGTTTTTACCACAGGGCAAATGCGCTTGCTGGAGAGAGGGAGAAAAAGAGAGAGAGAGGTGGGCTGAGGGGACTGTAAGAGGGAGAGTGAGAAATTACCTCCAGGGAGAATGGCCATGCTGCAATCCCTCTTCCTCCATCTCCTCCTGGGACTTTGGACACACATGCACATGTGCCCGGTGTGATTCCCAAGCCCTGAGAACCGTAGTCAGTCATGTGGCAGTCCGGCGCCCCACCACCATGCCACCTGCTGGCCCCTTATATTTTTATCTTTTAAACTAGTGGACTCTTACTTGACAGTATTAAGGTGATGTAACAGGCCCTGCAACTTGACTGAACATTTTATAAACTAGGTCTTTCGAGACCAAAGCACTGATGCTAAGTGTCTCTTCAGGACAAGAAGCACACAGACAAAAATCTGCATGGCCAGTGGCCCACACAGGCCTATTTGCAAGCTGTCTTTGGACTGCTACGGTGCATAAACTATCCCTTTGCACAAGACCAACGTATTTTCATGGGTCCCCTTTTCTTTCAGAGCCTGGGGGAGTCAGCGATGTCTGTCGTGTTAAGTCAGCTGCTGCCCTTGATCAAGCCTGCAGCCCGGAGGACCAAGGATGACTACAGCCCTGAGGAACTGCTGATCCTCCTCATATATATCTATTCTGTCACTGGAGACTTCCCCGTGGACGAGGACCTGGGTGAGACAGAAGAAAAGGTCAAGAGAGCTTTGGCTCAAGTCTTTTGTGAAGAGTCCGAGTTGTCCCCTTTACTGCAAAAAATCACAGGTGAGTAACAAAGATATTGTGTATTATCATCGCTGCTAGAAAAAGCAAGTTTAAAAAGAAATGCTGTTTTAGGGAGAGACATAATTGTCTCTGTTGGAGTTGCTGGGAGTTTTGTGAGGCCCAGTGAAAGCCTGGCAGCCTTTGGGATCAGAGGGGTTCATCGCAGTCTGCTTCCTTTCCTGCCGTGGTGGTGAAATGGCCTCCTTCTGAATCGCTTTGTTAGGATTTGTATTTCTTAGAGCCAGTTGTGAAAATAACAAAGTATTCACAGGAATAACAGTTATCTTTAAGGAAAAGTAAAATGTAATGGATCCTTTTCAATGGGTTTTCTATGGACGTACTTTTGTGTGTGTGTGTGTGTGTGTGTGTGTGTTGCCATTTTAAACTTAAAAGACCAGTTTAGGATGTTACACAGTTTTAAGTAGGAATTGCCATTTCCAGTAGTTTTCTATTTTTGTCTTCTCATATTTCATTTTGAATTTAAATTTGTTGGTACCAATACCCAAATATCTCAGGAAGGTAGGCTATGCTACCTTAGGGGAAAG